GCCTGCCAGCCAGCCAGCCAGCCAGCCAGCCAACCAACCAGCCAGAGTTCCTTTTTGCTTATTCTTACTCTTTCTGACAACCCATCTGATCTTCAGTGTCAGTATCGAGTGAGTGTAGGCGGCAGCTATTGATGAATGTCTATAGTTTATTGAAAATGCTCTGCATAACGCACCGATAAGTCTCTGAACCATCACATCGAAGCATTGACTTGACTGAACTAATGTTGAAAATCCGAATCTTGTTCACGTTTTAAGCTGGGTGGAGTGCAGTAGATCTCCACACTCTATTCAGATTAATGAAGGCCTGTCTCGCTTACCTTCCGATCCTCTCTTTGACATCTTTATCTGTGCCAGCTGTAATTGAAACGGTACTTCATTGGCTAGGTAGGTGGAGGAGACTACCTCCTTTAGATTTCTCCAGACCACGGTGAATAGTGCCTGTTGTCGTTGTTGTTGTTGTTCGTTAGGTATATTAATCACCTCTAAGTCTGTCTTCTCTACGTCCCACCTGAAGGAGGTCCCGTCTTCGCTGCACCGCTTCGCCTCTGCTGCAAACTTGTTGGTTTTCACCTAGAGATCTTTGCGTTTGTGCGACAAGACATTTCACATAAATCATTGTTGGCGGCGAAATTCAAATCATCAGTCTAGCTAGTGTGTACCCCTCTTCTCATTCCTCACGGTTTGTTGCATGATCCAGTCCAGTCCAGTCCGGTCCGGTCCGGTCCGGTCGACCACAATCAGGAAGATCATCGGTGATGCTAGACGACAACCTTGTCTTACTCCTCTCCCCTGTCTTCACTTCAAAGGTGTCAATCACTCGACATGTAGCCTCATCGTAAAGCTGTTAAATGAGATTGATAGAGGTTTGTGGCACTGAAACCGTAGTGCTGAATCAAGCAGCTGCTTATCAAATTACTTCTCGGTCGACGCTGTAGAAGGCCTATTCAAGGTGGATGAATTCGGTGTACAGAGTTGACTGCTAGTCTGAAACTCAGAAAGAATATATATTACTGATAACTTATGAGCTCACACCTAAAATGCAGGTCTTCTGGTTAAAACAACTCTGAGAAGCTTTGCTCGAATCCAGTAATCAGCATTTACTTTTTAAGTCAGTTAAGAGTATGACCATCATACAAATTCACTTGCAGGTATTCGTCTTCACTCACAACTTGATTATTATTATTATCGCTTTATTCCAGACATACGTGGCGCAGTGTCGAATTCTCATCATTTAATACTTCAACAAACTCATCCACCATACAATATTTCTGAAACAAAATGGTTATTTCACATAGCCTTTCTGTCTGGACTGGTTAGTGAATAGAAAATAGACCAAACATTCGAGGGTAATAGTTTATTCAGCCATTACAAAAATCTACAATTCGACATGTGTAGTAATGCAATGGATTTCTGTGCATTTATAAGCCCGTCTCTTACCGACCTAACGTTTTTCTTTTGTTCTATTGTTAGTCTGAAAAACCGCAGTTTGAAAATATTTTAAAAATGTGTGAGAATACATGACACGTTTAAAAGACATAATTAGATTTTTAAAAAGTGAAACAGAAAAATTCACTAAAATACATTCGATGGAAAAATTTTGGTAGCCCAATGTTTAGGCAGGTTGCTGTAGTTTTTACTTTAAATTACTTTAAAAATATGCATTATATACTAAAAATCCTCGAATACACAATGACGTAACAGTGTCAGATATTCAGTATGCGGAATACAGATCAGTATTTGAATTAACTCACACTAATTGAAAGATACTTGATTTCAGTTTGTTCGTACTTATCACTTTCTCATAAATTCTGGACTTTTTCTAGCCAATATTAGGAAATACTTTTCTCATAACTGGTCACATTCCAATATGTTAAAATCACTGCATTTTTGAATTCCTGATGAATTCAAGGCCATAACTTGTAATTTTCTGTCATTTATTGAACTCAATTGATCAACTCCTACTCGCAAATAGGTTCCCATGAGAATGCCTCTGGGTTAATATTCGCTTGCAGTCGAATCCAGAGCGCACATTTCATTTTATTTTGGATAAGTCGGATGGATGTGCATGCATACAAACTAGTAGAGTTGTTCCGGAATTTTACTACTAACCGCCACTAAGCAAATAACATCTAAAAAACGGAGGCAGTATTGAAGCATTCACACAGGAACCCATATGCAAATATACCTGATAACTTTGGTTCAGTTGATGAGGGGGAATCACAACCTTTGACATCAAAATATACCCGTTTCTCTGAATAATATCATCTTGCGTCGGCGTTCTAGTGAATAGCAGTCCGACAATCAAATGATGGGTCTTGTGTTACAGTTTCATTGGGAACAACACCACTTACTGAGAGGCAGCTTCAGCCAGCTGACATGTTCTACATGTTCTGGTGATGAAGCATCTAGGATTATTCATCAAAGCCTAGAAAACACGGAACAGTCTTCGTCGTCATCCGAAAGTACGAATCTTATATACTGTTATAATATATCTTACTCGCAATTTGTTATGCAGTTATACTATATTTAAGAAATATTTCTTTCCAGTTACTGATCAGTATAAAGCATGTTTTCCATTGAGGTACTCATTATCCGTTCTATTCTTGAGTAAAAACTTTGAGCGGCATACATTTTAAAGGTGATATTCACTCAACCACTCAGACAAGGTGATTGCAATTATTCAGTCTCTTCACAAGTGTAGGTGATAACTCCTACAATAAACCATGTCAGAATCTACGAATAAATCACTCGTATTCTTCAAGTGGATTCTGACTCGAGATTCCTGAAGTATGAGAAATTCTAGCAACATTGGTACAAACCAATAATGGGTATTTGAATAAGCAATCTGCTGTTTTATAATTCCTTATTCTTAGGTTGACAAATCATTATCCCACCAAGAATGTCTTGGATCAGTAGATTTCTGCCTAACTATTGCTTCCTTTCAGTTTTCAGCGTCATCCTTGTATAAAACTCACTGCCCCTTAATGAACGCTACCTCAGAGAGAACGGAAATTTTAACTAAATTTCTAAATCAATCGGCATTTTGATATATTTTTCACTTAAATGGCTACGAGAAATTCGTTCACTGTTAACATCGCTCTTCTTTTGGTAACGAAATCTGCAGATCACCATGTGCGCTTTCTAAATATTCATGTTATTCAGTAATGCACATTTCTTTTTCATGCACTTCTTCCTATGCAATGGGATGAATGCGGAAAGGAATTTAGGTGTCAGTTTCTTATGATACTCACTTTTATGAAGTACAATTTTAATAGCGAATATGATTGCAGTAATTGATACTCGATCGTAAAAAGTGATAACCTAGAAGGTTTGTGCACGTGTCAAACTGCTATCCGTACATAAAGAAGAAATGGAGGTTCTATTTTTGAATATATAAAGGCGAACGTCAGCCATTATCCTGGTACGGTCATCAGTTGACTGTATGATTAACTTCGATATGTTTTGCAGTGACAAATCCTTTTCAATTTTACAAATTTTTATTCAACTATTTATTCTCATATGATTTGTGTTCTATAGATGCCTATCTTTAGCAGTTCTTTGGATGGCAGACAACATAAAGTGCGATGCTTGATAGCTTGATAGTCAGCTTTAACACTTGAAAGGTAAAAGCTGTTGACAATACGCAAACGGTCAGACTGATGGTTGTAGTTATTCTTTGATACAAGATGGTTGGATATGACTAGCAAGAAACTAGGTTGCATTCATCATCTTGAAATCAATTATTTTCCACAAACCTCTAAATTTAATAATCACTCTTTTTGTAAATGACAAAAAAATAGTCAGCGATATGGAATACATGCTCTATGATTTATCTCTTCAAATATAACAGACCCTACTATGATATGATATGCTTGGACAAATAACCTTAAAATAGTTCTAAGTCCAATACCAAGGCATCCGATCAAAGAGACCATAATTCATCAGAAATCGACCACTTCGCTCCAGTAAAGTAATCAACGAAGAATTGCAAAAGTAAATGAATAATACCACTCAATGAGTTTATTTACTTTTGTTCAGACAGTCTCTTCTATTCTGAGATTTAATGTAACAATTTTCTAACAAGTCAACAGTATCAACAATAACGTATCAAACTGAAGTCGGAATATAACAGAAATCCACTCAGCAACCACGTGCATGTTCGGGCAGTAGGTGAACCACACTTTCTCTGTGAGGGCCAGTGATACTTTTTAACTACCCAAACCTCATCTGGTGGAGTAGAGTTCGAACCCATGAGTCACTGGTTGGAAACCAAGTACACAGATCAATGAGCCACAGCTCCATTGAACCACAAAGGAGAGACAAAAATTTACATTATCCTTATTTACCTACACAATGGGTGCTTCCTTATATTCTCAGGTGAATATCATCCAGTATTCTTCAGTTGGAAGCGAAAGAAAACTCGGATGCTTCTGTAGCCATGTGGTGAACATATGTATTCTTCAAACAAGCTTACTGTGTTCCTAGAAATAGACAACATAAGTATTTAAGTAAAATGAATCTTCATCTGAAATAGCTTTGTAGTTAGAAAACGTACCACTGTGATTGTCATTGCCATTATTAATATTAGTATTAGGTGAATCCCACATTACGCCAGTCCATCGCATAAAAAAATGAAAACACGTGGTTTGAAAAACATCTGGCCTTTATGTCTGGATACTCTGCAGATAAAAACTAAGTTATAATTGGTTGATTTTTAACCAATCAGGTTTGGCGAACATTTCATTGGACAAGATGCTATTGGTTTTTTTGGTAGACAAATGGAGCATTATTTTTCAATTAGTCAGAAATGCAAAAAGAATTTACGCAAACTAAACTTGTATCATTTGGCACACGTTGATATTTTGACTATATTATCATAAAATGAATTGTGAATATTTGGATAATACTTGATTATCCTGTTTCTCCTTGTGGGCGGGACCCAATTGTGCATTAAGTTGTAATTTCTTGTGAAACACCTAAACTTCTACTGCAAAAACGTGATGTCTTCGCCTATTTTGGATATCAATAAAGCAAACAACATTGAAACATGTAATCAAGAGACAGCATTGAAGAGTGATAAAAGTCAATTTGAAGGTAAATCATTGATTATTGAGTATCCTGGATATCGTATACTAATTATTGACACTGGTTTGATAGAAAGGCATAGGAAACAGGATATTTTATCCACGTGAGTCCTTATCATATAAAATATAGTAGATTTCTCGTTTTGTTTATCTAATAAGAATTTCGGTATGTAATCATTTAAATCCATTACACTTGTTTGTATGAAATAAAATATCAGCACCTACTTTGATGAATATTGGAAATTTAACTCCTGTTTTCTAGAATTTATTTGTACGGAACCGCTGTTTCTTATAAGCTCCTTGTAATGGTTCCTAACTGGTGCTGTTTTATCACAGCTTGAACATTTTTGGTGCTGACCATGACTGGTGTTCCACTGGTTTTCATGATAAAAATTTCACTGTATTATTCATTATGGGCTGACATCGATTGGAGAACCATTGATACACCGGAGCGCTGGAAATCTGTTTCATCCTAGTAAGGGATCCCCCAAACAGTGCACACGCTCATAATGTTAGGTCTTGGATTGAGCACGTCCTCATTCGGCTTCTGGATCAGAATTCAGTGGTCCACATCTTACTACTTCTGTCAATTCATGATATAGTGAAATGATCCTAGAATGCTATCGGTGAGTGTTTTTAACATGTCCAACTGGACTGAAAGAAATAGGAAAACGTGGACCATTGGATTCGACCCCATGGCCGAAAGGTGAAGTTCTCACTAAAAAACTTGATGGTCCTAGCCTCGATCTCCAGCGGAGCCTGGAGTGTGCACAGACTGCTGATTAGTCCTGTACCAGGATGAAGCAGCTGTCCATTATTCAGTATATCAGCGGTTCTATGAATCATTTCAGTCTTTGAAGAATACTACCTTGAAATCAACCAATCTCTATGACCCTCCATATGAAGACCTACCAAATACCAAACAAAGAATAACTATAGCAATTACCGAAACATTCAGTCAAAGAGTTAATGTGCTGACAGAGATTCGTCCACTTAGTACTGGCCGCCAGTAATCGAAATCTTTTTTTGGCAATAGTGGCACTTACCTACTGACTAAGTTGTATCTGTATCAACGTGTTAGCACAGAAGGTAACTTCAAGGTGTTTAAAATGATGTGTTAGGTATAAGTCTAAACGGTATGCTGGTACATCATGATGATCGGTTACAAATTAAAGTGAAGTGGGTGACTAGAATGCTTTTAATAGCTACAACTTGAAGCATCAGTTGCAACCCGTTGGAATCTTACTACATTGAAATGGACTGGCTGATTCATCGCAGTATTTGGATTATAGTTGGTTGCTGCCTGTTAACTTATTTGACTGTTTAACCCGCCGTGAGTGTACTTGTCAGAAGTAACATTTGTATCTCAGTGGTAGCCACTGGAAGCTGACTGCTTCATACAGTTAACTTCAACCAACAGGTCACGGGTTCAAACCCTGCTTCAACATCATTAATCCTCACATATTAGGCATGGCTGATCGCCTGCATGAATGTGTACAAGGTTGCTGAGTGCACTTTGATTTTTTCTGACCTAACATTATCAATTAAATCATAATGGGGAGCAAGGGCTACCCTAGTTCCCAAATACATATTCTGTTATAGAAAATAGACACAAGTAGAAAATATCTAGTCTCACCTTTAGCTGTTAATCCTTTCTTAAAAACTTATTCATTTAATCATTTCGATTAACTGAGATAGCCGTCTCTAGATAGACTAGTAATGAGACTGGGTGATGACTGAAGGTGAAGTGGAAATCTGGACTACTGGAAACCCGTAAGTCACTGGTTCGAATCCGCCGCAGTCCACATTTTCACTTCAGTCACCGCCCGGTATCAGTTTCGTTATTTTAAATAAGACTGAAGCAAACAGTGATCTCCGGGATACTTTGCTGTGAAACAAAAACTAGAAACACATACAACGAAAACTGATGATTATTATAAGTTTCGGGTAGTAGTACTTAGAATCACCAATCCAGTTGTGTATCTCAAGATAGTGCAGTTTAGCAATCAGTTGATTTCCTCAAATATAAAAAGCCAGTTAATAAAATCCAAACGTTTTTCGAATTGCTATCTATGCTTTTAGGGATTGAGTGAAAAATGAATGATTCAACAGGCTAACGTAAAAACAAGTGAAGTAACCAATTAGACTTCTGCAATCTATGAAAAAACTGTCTTGCCAGTTACAACAAATAAACCTGATTGGTTATTTCAGTTGTCAAAGTGACCTTTAAGGTCAGTCGTGAAACATTTATTTAAATTTTAAATTGACTATGTTCAATCACTAAATCCCTTAGTAAGGCCTAATCATTGCATAGTGAAGGCGAAAATGCGCATGGTGCATTTAATACATTTTTAAGAAAAACTAGTTAAAACTAATGTTTATTGTCAGTATAGAACAGCTAAAGTTCAGAAGTTGGGTCAGTGGTTGATCACGTGGTTCGTTAATTGCACAAAAACCCCAGGGAATTAAAAACCATCGGTTAACTTGAGAATAGGGACATGTGTCTACTGACAAAGAGAGCGATGTAGTCTCATAGTGGTAATCTGAGTAGTAGTAGTATTGGTAGCATTTTGAGCTTACCATAATCTGTAGAACTTACTTATCTCTTCACCAACATGTTCTCTCTTTAGTGGAGATTTTAGACATACCAGTGCTCAATTCGGAGAATTATGGGGATTTATTTATTGATTTCATGTTGATATTCATCATGGTGTGACATCAATCGGAAACATAGGAGCACTGGACTGGTGTTTCGTTCCAGTGAGTGACTCCTCTTCAGTGCACACTTATGACCAGGCTAAAGATCGGACCCAGGATCTTCAGGTCCCACGGCCAGCATGCTGTCATTGAGCTGCTTGGTCAAAACCCAGTGGTCTACAATTTCCTACTTTTTTTATTTCACTAGATAGCACGGCCGCCATTCAATCCCGCCATGCTGGTCGTGGAACCTAAAGATCTTGGGTCCGATCCTTGGTGGATGTCGACTGCTGAGAAGGCCTATTCTAAGAAGAAGCCTCTGTTCAGCGCTCACAGGTTTTCGAAGTCCCTCCAACTGATGTCAGACCATGACGAAAACCAAGCTGAAATATTCACCAATTTTATATATATTTTTAGTGAGGGTTAATTATTCCAAAAGTAATAATAGCCAATATGATAGCGATCGCTATCACTTATTCATCCTTGTGCATTTGTTAATCATTTGGTCCCCATTAGTATTAGGCAAAGAAAAAGCAAAAATTTGTAGGCACTGGTATATTTATTGGATACAAGATATGCATATCACCATTCAACATTAGCAGGCGACAGTTCATAAGACAAACTGAAAAACTGATTAAAAACCAAAGTAAATTAGTATTAATAATGGATATTGGCTAGGATTGTAATCCAGGACGTGATTTTTATCTTAATTAGGACTTATCATCTGGATAACCTGCCTCTCAATAAGTGATTTTACTCCCACCAGAACTTGAACCAAGGATCGATCGCTTCAAACATCACAGCGTTATCCAGTAGGCCAGTGAGTCGTGATAGCCACTCCTTGTTTGACTGGTATAGTTTTTATGTTATTGCTTGTAATTTTTCATCGTTGACTTGACTAAATCATCCACATAGGAGCCCATATGTCAATGGAGACTGATCACTTCTCTCCAGTCAACAGCGGGAAATTATAAGCAATGAAGTAAAAACCAGCAAATTATCTAGTTCATCAATGCGAAAAAATTTACTTGAAAAGTGATATTTTTGCATGCCTTCACTGATTGATAGAATATAATTCTATAAATAAATGGAATGGATTAATTCCTTCTCGGTATCTGGTTTATTTACTCCAGTATCTTATAGCTAAGTGGTTCATGTGCGCTCAAATTTTTATCATGAACCAACATCAATTGATTACTGATCAGGTCCTAGATTCTGACGTAAGGCAATGATTCTTGTGGTCAGCTTATTCGTCAGGAAGCTGAATATGAGTTGGTGACGCTTACTGATGATTGCACTATGTTATGAACTGACAGTTGATATTGAATCAGTTATCATCTGAAAATGGGCCGCTCATAAAACTTAGGTGTTTTGAGTGCGATTGCGTACAAATTACTTCTGATCATTCTGAACATATGATGAACTAGCTGTTCCGAATTCTTCGGTTGTCAATGGTCACTTAACCGGTTGGTGTGTAAACATTAAATTGTCCGCAGATTTTCTATTTTCAGTTAACTTGAAGCTGAGCATATGCTTTACACCTATCAGTTGGAACCATCTTTCCAGAATCCCTCTGTGAAATTCTCCATTTGAGGGAATGTTGATGGGGTTTCTTAGATGCACAAATGATGAAAGATGAAAGGCAAAAGTTGGTCATTATTTTCACTTATAAATCATTCTTTAATCTACCTCTCTAGTTTGATTTGATACTTGAACATTCGGTGAAACGTCCATTCGAGTACCGACCAAATAGTTTCTTCCAAGAGAAATAGAGATGCTGAAACATTATTTAGCTGCTAGAAAAGATGACAGAATTTTTAAGTCACTTGACTTTCACCTCACTTATTCTAAACAGTGACAGTCTGTCGAAAAAGGTAAGGTCTGTTGAAGTCAGTCACCAATACACAGATCCATAAACATATGATTCATGTGTAAGTAATACTGTTACAATGATCAAAAACTACTGATATTGGTGAAAGTTGTGTTCACCTTTTGAGTCAAGCCAGTAGTATGTGCCTAAGATAAACGTGCAGAAAAATAATTACCTAGAAATGCATCTGAGCGGTCACCTGCATGTTCGTGCATTACGCAGTATGAGCTACATCTACCGTGTGTAGCCCATGTGGCTGTCAAGAGCTCGGTAGACGGAGTTGGATCAGAACCCATGACTGACTGCCAAATGGTTGAATGAGCAAGTAAATGACCCACATCTCTACCAACTAAATTTTACGTTGACTGAATTATGTGTAACGTGTATTTTTGCCTTTCCACGTATTTCTGTCACCGTCTTATAAACTTGAATATTCATACACCAAAATGTATTCTACATTTTATGGTTTGATTCATGTGAGCCAATAACTTTATCCGGTTGATGAGAAGAAAATTGCTATAATCCTTTAGAAATTCC